GTGGGGGGGGGGGGGGGGAGAATGATCCTTGAAATACATCACTATTCTAAGATTTTAGATTTTTATTCAGGGCTGTCAGGCAAATGGCAATCATGCAACTATAAGTTTTGGAGGAAGCTGATCATTTGGCTCTTTTGCAAACCAGTTTATTTTGGGGCAGGGGACAATTGGACAGGTTTGGTAGAAACGTATTTTTGATCTTTCATTGATTGATATATTATGTCCTATCAAGTCAAGTACTTTTAGCAACCTGTATTGGGCAGAATAAATGGTCTTGAGGGACAGGAGAAGAACTGCTCCCAAGATAGTGGTGAGATACAAGAGGATTGAGGCCAGGACAAGAATATAAGCTGAGTAAATGTCTCAGACAGAACTCTTCCTAGTTCTCATGAACATAAGGGGAGGGAGAATGCATTCAGACTGCAAGATTCTGTTACTATAACTTTACAATTTAATAAATGTTTCCAAAGAACTAATGTATCTGAAATATGATGTGATCCTGGTCATCTGTGCCTTAAGTGAGAACTCTGGATTGATTTGTTCATTGAACCATTTGTCTGTTTTCTTGCTTGTCCATGTGATTCTCAGAAGTCTTCTCCAACACTGAAGTTCAAAGCATCAATATTCTTTTTATCTTGTTTTTTCAAAGTCCAACTGTTGCTTCCATAGATGTCACTGGGATAACTATTTCCTGAACTATTCTGATCTTTGTAGGTATAGACATATCATGGCATCTGATTATCTTTTCCAGCTCCTTCATGGCTATTTTAATAAGTGCTAGTCTACAGTGCATTTTTGACTGCTGGTTCTACTATTGATAGATTATCTTAAAAGGCAGAAGCTATCCATCATTTCAATATCTTCATTGTCTATTCTGGGACTGGCTGCTCTGTCTGTTGTGATAATTTTGATCTTTACATTTAATCCTTGTCCCATTTTCCACCGTGCCCTTTGACTTTCATTACTAGAGCTTGTCGATTATTTGCAATTTTAGCTATTAGAGAAATGTCATTATTATAGTGCATATTACTGATGTTTCTTCTTCCAATGTTCTTCCAATTTTAACCCCCCCCCACATTTTCTTCCTATCCAGCTTCCCTCAATATATATTCTACATGTAGGCTAAATAAATAAGGGGAGGGTATACAGCCTTGTATTACTCCTTTGGCAACCTGGAGACTGGATTAGGCTTTCTTCTTTATAGATGCTTCCTATCTGGCTTCTCAGCTGGCAAGGCAAAATACTGCAAGAGTTTCTCAGGACATGAAGACTGAGATAAGCAGATTTATTGTAGCAGAACTATGAAACTATTATGAAAGAATTCCAGTTCTATTTATACTGCAATGAAAATCCAATTTATTTTGCCTCTTTGTCCTGCCTCCTCTATGTAAATGGCCACATGCAATTATATTTTCTGTGAGAATATACTTTCTGTCCATTCCTTTTTTAATAGTGCCCTGATCCATGATTGGGTTGTTTACTGAAGATACTGGAAAAAATAATCAAAAACAGATCTGTGCAACTGAGGTTTGTTAAAAATAGATCATGCCAAAACAATCTTATTTCATTCGTTGACAAAGTGACCAAATTAGTAGACCAGCAAAATGCTGTGGACATAGTATACTTACATTTCAGCAAGGCATTTGACAAAGTAGACCACAACCTACTTTGTGGTAAGCTAGAAAAATGTGGGATAGGCAGCATCACCACCAGATGGATTTGTAACTGGCTGACAAACTATACCTGACAAACTATATCCAGTCCTTAATGGTACTACAGCTACATGGAGGGAAGTGAGCAGTGGGGTACCACAAGGTTCTGTATTACGCCCAGTACTCTTCAATAACTTCATAAATGACTTAGATGAGGAAATAGGAGGGGATCTCATCATATTTGCAGGTGACACTAAGCTGGCAGGAATAGCCAACACCCCAGAAGACAAGCTCAGAATCCAAAAAGATCTTGACAGACTTGAACAATGGGCTCTATCCAACAAAATAATATTTAGTGTGGAGAAAAGCAAGGTTTTACACTTAGACAGGAAAAACCAAAAGTACAAGTATGGATTAGGTGAAACCTGGCTCCAAAACAGTAACTATGAGAGAGACCTTGGAGTCCTAGCAGACAATCAGTTAACTATGAGCCAGCAGTGTGCAGCAGCAGCCAAAAAAAGCTCATGCGATCCTTGGCTGTATAAACAGAGGCATTGAATCAAAATCATGTGAAATATTAGTACCACTTTATAAATCCTTAGTAAGACCATACCTGGAATACTGCATCCAGTTTTGATCACCACATTACAAAAAAGACATTGGGACTTTGGAAAAAGTGCAAAGAAGAGCAACTAAGATGATTAAGGGCCTGGTGACAAAAATATATGAAGAATGGTTGCAGGAATTGGGTATAGCCAGTTTAGAGAAAAGAAGAACTAGGGGGTGACATGACAGCAGTATTCCAATATTTCAGGGGGTCAACTTATTTTCCAAAGCACCAGAAGGCAAGGCAAGAAACAATGGAAGGAAACTAATGAAAGAGAGAAGCAACCTAGAATTAAGGAGAAACTTCCTAACAGTGAGGACAATTAACCAGTGGAACAGCTTGCCTTCAGACATTGTAGGTGCTTCATCACTGGAGATTTTTAAGAAAAGACTGGACAACCACTTATCTGAAATGGTATAGAGTCTCCTGCATGAGTAGCGGGTTGGATTAGAAGACCTCCAAGGTACCTTCCAGCTCTAGTCCAATTTATTGACTTTTGACCAACTAACTTTCACACCTCCAGGTTAGATTGGTAGAACATGGAAGGCCCTACTCTGGGTAGCTCTTCAGTTGCAAACTTCTTCCTCAAAAGGTGTACTGACTTTCTTTAGTTTGAGAAATGCTTTTTTGTTTTACTGTCAGCCATGGCTTTTATGTAGCTGTATATATTATCTCCTTTGGCTGTTTTAAATGACTACTTTTTCTCTGCATTCTAATTGATGCATGGAAAAAAAAAGACTTGATTTGTACAAACCTTGTGTAGCCCTATTTCACTTCAATACCACAATTAATGCATGCAGCATTGCTTTAAGCCAATCTTGTTTAGCACAATTTTAGCTGGCTTTAGGAACTGTGCCTTTTCAGTGGTGGCATCGTTATTTTATTTAGTTATTTATTCAATATATATGCCTCCTATCTCACCAAATAGGCAACTTTGGATGGCTTACAAAATAGTAAAAAGATAAACATAAAAATAGTTAAAAGTAAGAAGACTTAAATAAGAACTAAAATCAAGGGGATGGCTGGCTTGGGGTGAGGTCTTCTTACCCTGTCAACCACATCCAGTGAAAAACACTCCCACTAGGGTACCGCCAGCTGGCAAATCCAGCTTTTAAGACCCTTTTGAAAGGCCTGAAAGGTTGTGGTAGATCTCACCTCTAAGGGCAGAATGTTCAACAAGGCTGGGGCCATACTGGAAAAGACTCTTCTTGACCTCACCAGCTGAAATTTGTTGACAGACCGAGCTCACAGCAAGCCCCTTCTCTTGGAGTGACATGCATTCTATACCAGTAGTACCTTCAAATGCTTTTGAAGTGTAGCCCCATGTATGTAGACCTTAGATATAATTTTAGCACAGATCTACCTTGTGTTGAGTTTTAACAACATGGTGAAGGTACAATAAGCATTTGCAGAAAGGATAGTTACTTTAAATGTTAAGACCTTGTTGATGCGTCAGATTGAATTGCTGTTATAATTTAGTTTTTCATACATTGTGTGAAGTGTGTGTGTGCTTCTGTATGATTGAGGTTATAGGGCCATTGCAAAAATACACCCCACGGGGAATTTACTTTTGCATAGGTATGTATAGAACTGCTTCTAATTCATATATTTTTGATTGTGTGGCTTATATTTCCTTAAAATAATTAATGAAGAAATAGGAAGCAAGGTACAATGATGATTCCTTAAAAATGCTCACTCAGCTCTGTTCTTGTTTGCCAGATCCCATTTCATCTAAATTAAAAAGGGGCTGATAGAAAAACTAAGAAAGGAATTTTGTTCAAATAATTGCTGGCATCATTGAAACTACTTCATATACTTAATTTGTTGTTCCTTTTGTTAAGCTTGCTTTAATCATTTAATTGAAATTGTTAGATTGTTGTTTGTTTGGCAGAAGTATATTTGAAATATAGTGAGGGAGTAATATGAATTAGTCCAAATAGCATTATCTTCCTTTAATGTGCAAATTATTGATTTTAAGGATGTAGAGCAGACTTCTTCAGTCTGGCATCATCCATCAGTTTGCATGTACAGTGAAAGTGCTACTTGGAAATACTGAAATTTATTATACAAAATACCTGGAGGATACAGGTATACTAGGTTGGAGTAGATTAATGTATCATTAATAATTTTTATTATGAAATTATCTTGATTCAGTGAAATCAAATGTATTTTAAGAGTAGATCATAGGTTTTGTTGAAAACTATTTCTAAGAGAAATTGAGGAATATTTTTTATAATAGACTGATCAAATAAACTTCTTATTAAACACTTAAAATTGTTGTCTTTGGGATATTTTAGGATGCTTTCAAAATTGAAAAGGGATATAGAGGATCCTAATACAAGGACAACTCCATGATTTGTAGAACATTGACTACATAATTGCACAATTGTTCAGCATCTTGTGTCCCAGTCCAAAATAAGCATTCTTCTTAAGTTCGGCTGAAACAACTGAAGCAATTTAATTGCCAAGGAAATTAAGACATGTCAGATTTACTGTAAACTAATCAGCCTAATTTTCTTTCATTTGGGACCTAAATCTTCATCTTTCTGCCCACTTATAAGATGTATCAAAGATAAAGCTGACTTTAGGTAAATTACTTATTTGGTCTCCATTAATTTAATTTTGCAACTATAATGGGACTTTGAACCTATGTAGATATATAGTCAACTTATTCTTCGCAAAAATATTACATTGTAAAATAATACTAAATGCTAATGGGTTGTTTTGCTTTGTTCCTTTAGGGCATCAGTAGCCTGTTCAGTTCCCTTAAAGTAGTCAGGCTGCTTCGACTGGGTCGTGTGGCTCGAAAATTGGATCACTATATTGAATATGGAGCAGCTGTCTTGGTTCTTTTGGTGTGTGTCTTTGGTCTTGCAGCCCATTGGTTGGCCTGCATTTGGTACAGTATTGGGGACTATGAAGTTATCAATGAGGATAAAAACACAATACGAAATGAAAGCTGGCTCTACCAACTAGGGGAATCCATAGGATCGCCCTATCAATTGAACACAACAACTGGAAAATGGGAAGGTGGACCAAGCAAGGATTCTGTTTATATCTCTTCATTATACTTTACAATGACTAGTCTGACAAGTGTTGGATTTGGGAACATTGCACCAACAACAGATGGAGAGAAGATATTTGCTGTTGCTATGATGATGATTGGCTGTAAGTATCAATGCATTGATTTTTAATGTAGTTTTCTGTAAACTGCATTAACTTTTCACAGATCCCTCTAGTTCTCTTCCCCAAATCTTCTGGAAGATCCCCTGGAATGACATTGGAGTTCTAGGAAAGACTTAAATTTTCCCTTTCCCTTCCCCCAGGATTTTATTCACTTCCATAAGCTCTTCCTTCATGGGACAGTGGATTTTGATTATTCATCATTTTGGACTATCAGCTCTCCATGATAAATCAGATTCCCCCCCCCAATGTATTTTTATAACAAACAAGAAGAAGTTAAAAATCAATATTTTATTTGGCTGCATGATGAATGCACCATCTTTTGAAATCAAGAGGAGAGTAATATGGAACAATTCATTCCATGGCCTCTGTCACCTGCTTTGTCACTTGTTCATTCCAAGCTGTGACAAGACAGAGTTGTGTAGCAGTTTCAGTGAAAACCCAGGTTTCCTCTGAAACTGCCTGCAGGTTCCTGGAGTGGGCCAGTCAAATAGGCACCACTCCCTATGATTGGGCATGGTTATGGAGAGCTCTAGGGCTAATTTTATGTCTTTATATAAAGATTATGAACAAGGAAAAAAAGCAGATAATTTGTTTATGTTTTGCATCTGTGACCTACTATGTGGCAGGCTGATAGTTGATTACATAGAAAATTAAATTTAGTAAACATTCAGCAAATAGTGAGAGGGAAGATTGGAACAAGTTGAGTTTGGAATATTGTTGAATTATTTCTAGTAGCTACTTTCCATCAGCATTTTCTGCTGAAATAGCAGGAAGTATGGCTTTATATGATAAAAAGGTCTGGCGGATAAACGTTAGAATTAATCCTGCCCATGATGGCACTGAAGGCTCATTATATACCATGAAGCAATCTCTTCAGACACATATGGGGTTTCCTGAAAGAACAGCAAATTTGTTAATTGAGTTTATACTGGCAAGGATACAGAGATTTTTGTGAGTATCAAATATTTTAATTGTAGTGAATGCTAAATGTGTTGGGACAGTCTTAATTTACTGGCATCACAGCAGTAATTTATAGCAAATCTCCTTAAATATTGTTAAAGAAATCTATATGTGCAAACATTTAGTGCACTTGTATATTACCTTATTTGAAAGGATAGTAGTGGTGGAAATATATGCCCAGAAGGGAGAATTTTTCATTAAAAATATTAATACAAATGCCTAAATTGTCCTGTTAAAACAGATTGTGATAACAGTAGAAATTCTGAGCTGTTGGTTTCTGTAGTGTGCCCTTGGGAGTACTAAATAGTCTGTTCAACAAATAGTGCCATATATAAAACAACAAGGCACACATCTGTCTCAATTAAGTGCATTTGCTTTAATTCATAATTATCCTGACCTTTTCAGTTTTCTGTAGTAATGTTCTGTGCCTGACAATTCCTTACAGTATCAACTCCAGTCTTTTAATCAGCATTGACAAGAGAAATAACACAATTCTTAAATAAGTCCAGAGTTGTTTGTGCAATTCCAGTATGGTTAGATGTTTTTGTTCAGAGAGGATTCTGCAATCGCAGAAAATCAAATACAATAATATCACATAAAATATTTCCAATGAAATCAAGGCACTTAACAAATAATATACATCTTTGTATATTATTCCAGATAAGTTTTTCTTATCAAGTGCCCATTGATTTATCAAAATAAATCAAATGCCCATTGATTTAAGTTTTTTATAAAACTTAAATCAATGGGCACAAAACTGAACCATAAACTTCAAAGCGTTTAGTATGTGGGGCCATAGTAACTCTCATAATCCATCGTCTGTTGAGGATACGTTTTGATGGCTGGGAGGAATATAAAGGGAATAGTTGTGATGAATGCAAATTATGGAATTTCCACTATGAAAACAAGTTCCCTTTGTCTAGTGTGCAAAACAGTAGATGTATCCTGTTAATAAAAAAATATTTAAGTGTTTGCCCTCATTCATTGCAAATGCAGTAATAGGCTATCTGTGTAAGCTACTTTGAAAGATGGAGCTCATGACTCACTAAAAGAGAAAAGGGGGTATTAGCAGATAATTCTAGAGACATCATGAAAGAACTTATGCTGAAAATTAATGTGATGCTTGAGATGCTTCCATGGTGGAGCAGAATAAAAAAGAACTTGTGGAAAATTTCTAGACCATTGAAACCAAAATGCTTAACCTGAATCTGTAGTGGTCCATAGCTGTCCTATAATGCTGTATGTTTTTTGTTTTTTTTTTTGGATTGAAGACTATATTAGTTCCAATATTTTATAAAAGTTTCAGGAAACTTGATAGAAAACTGACCAGCTTATGTAGTGCTGTGTTACCATTTCTTAGAAACCTTTTATTGATGTTGAATAAATATTTATGCAATGAATGCAATGGAGTCCTTGGTGCCTTCCAGAGTTTGGTTGTTTGCTTGCAAATGTTACATTACTCAACTAGGTAACATCATTAGTATTAGTGATTGTGGGATTTTCTCCCTGTTTATTTACTGTAGCTTGTACTGCCTGTGTTGATAGGGATGTGGTTTTCTCTTTGGCAGTTTCTTGATTAGGGTATTGTTTTCTGCTTGATTATTTGGTCTGATGTTGCTAATTCCTGCTTATCTGGGTATTGCTGCTGGAGATAATATGTTCTGGTCTTTTTATTTCCTTGCTAGCTTTTTATTGTCTTTTTTGAATGGCAAATAAACACAGTTTATCTCTATGTGTCTGTTGAGAGTTGATTTATCTGAATGCCAAGTGTTGTGTCCTGAGCTTGCAAAAGCAGGCTCGGGATGTTGCATTGGTCCCGGGCATTCCAAAAGCTGCTCGGGACCAGACAGAGCAGTGCCGGCCTTCTGTGCATGCACAAGGCACAAAAACGCTCTGTTCCTATTGGTTGTCACTGTCCAGGTTTCTGGCCATATAAAAAGGCCTGCAAGCCTTTTGCTTTCGCTTGGTTGTTGTAGAATAAAGTGTTTGTTCAGCATCGCCATGTGTCTTCATCATTTGCACCCGAACGAAGTATAGAACACTGGCGACGAGGGTAGGATCCTTTGCAAACTGAAACAAAAGATTTAAGGACTTACCCAGGAAGTCCTGAAGAGGGGAAGATGGCGTCTGAATCAGCGTCCCAGCCTGCCAGTACAGCATTGCTGGAGGGTGAGCTTGGCTAAAGGACCCTTTCCCCAAACAGCAGCTTGCAGAGGAAGCGATTGGTGAAGATCGTAAAGTTTATGATGTCGAAGATTGGCCGCTTGTCTGATTTCGATGTCTCCCACCCAGAGAAATGGAATTCCTACGTAGCACGGGTGGAGAACTACTTCAGAGTAAATCAGATAAGAGAAGATGGCTTGAAGGCAGCAACTCTTTTGTGTGCCTGTGGACAAGAAGCTTTTGACATCTCAGAAAATCTGGTGGCCCCTGCACCTCTAGAGTCAGTAACATATACTGACTTGAAAAAGATGTTGAAGGAGCACTTCCAGCCGAAGTTATCCGTCATTGCCTGGAGGCACACGTTCGAGCAGAGAGACCAGAGGCCAGGTGAATCTGCTGTGGACTTTATTGCTGCCTTAAGGCAAGCGGCCAGGCCTTGTGAGTTCAAGGATCTGGAAGAGAGGCTGCGAGATCACTTTGTATGCGGTTTGAGGAGCAGAGACTTACAACAGAAAATTTTTGCAAAAGAAGATGTCTCCTTCCAAGACGCTCTACGAGAGGTGGCAGCTGAGGAAGCAGCAGGCAGGGCTGTGAAGGCCTTATGGCTTGCCAGGAACCCTCCAGACACAGCTACCGTCCATCAAGAGGATGCTCAAGAAGGATCGGAAGAGGATCCTGAAGAAGGTAGACAGACTTCACCAGCCAGCTGAAAGGAGGCAGAATGGACGTCCGGACAAGACCCCAGCATCTCTTCAATGCTTCGGGTGTGGAGGACGCCACAAGCAAGCTGACTGTAGGTTCTGCTCCACCATTTGCAGGGGGTGTGGCAGGCAATGCCATATCGCATCCATCTGTTTGGGTCGCCAGAAGGTCCAACCTCGTGAAGAATTGCATCTGAAAGGTACCAGGGTCCCCAGCCATCACAGGGTGGGTTTCTGCGCATTGCGCAGGAGTATTCTGAGAACAGGGACACACAAACCCCTTAAGAAGAAACTTTCCATTAACATTAAGGTTGCAAAGGGTTCCCTTATCCATGGAGCTGGACACTGGGTCTGCTCTCTCCATTATTTCAATTAACACATTCAAAAGGATATGCAGCAGCAGTGGCCTTCGACTTAAACTCAGGCCATCAAATCTAATACTCACTGATTTTCAGAATTCTGTGGTGTGTGTTAAGGGGGAGGCTACCCTTAGAGTACAGCATAAGGATTTTGAAGGTCCCCTAGATGTGGTGGTAGTTGGGGGTGAACGTACAAGTCTTATTTGATTCGATTGGTTCGAGGCTCTGGGAATCCAGGTAACTGGGCTGCACCATTTGCAAATGTTGAGCCTTGCAGAAGTCTGCAAGGAGTTTGCAGATGTGTTTAGTTCAGAACTAGGATCCTACAAGGGGCCTCCAATTTTGCTACGGTTAGACCTAACCATCACGCCCATCAGGGTTAAGCCTAGGAGGATACCTTTTGCCCTGAAAGGCAAGATTGATGCTGAACTGGAGAAATTGCTCTAGCAGGGCATTCTAGAACCTGTGGATTCTAGTCCATGGGAAACCCCCATAGTAACTCCTCTAAAGGCTAATGGGGACATACATATATGTGCAGAGTATAAGTGCAACTGAATAAGGCACTGCAACAGCCCGCTTATCCAGTGACTGTGGTAAGTCGCATTCTGGCCTCCCTCAAGGGGGGCACATTTTTGTGAAACTTGACCTGGCACAGGCCTATCAACAGCTACCTGTTGATGAGGCAGCTGCAGAGGCCCAGACTATTGTAACAGAGGCCCAGACTATTGAAGGGGGGCCTTCAAGGTTAAGAGACTGCCATTTGGGGTAAATGTAGCCCTTGGAACATTCCAAAGTGTCA